TTGTGGGGGGTTGGGTGGGGTAGGGGGTGTCTTTTGGAGGAGGTTTTGAGGGGTTGCCCTTTGGAGATGGTTTGTCGGTTGGGGAGGAGTTTCCTTTTGGTGGCGGTTTTGAGTATGGATTGTATGATGGTGGTTGAGCTTTTGGAATGGGGGTCTCTTTTGGAGATGGTTTTCCAGTTGGGTTGTATAAGTTTGGTGGGATAGTTGGGGAAGGACTCCCTTTCGGAGCCGGTTTTTGATTGTCCGAAGGTGGTGGGATAGTTAATTTGGGAGTCTCTTGTGGAGGCGGTTTTGAATATGGGTTGAACAACGGGTTGGGCAGAGATGGTGGAGGATTTGAATAGGTGGAGTTCTTTTTAGGGGTTGGTTTAAGTGTTGCGCAGTCTTTTTTTGGGCCTGCTGGAGGAGGCTTTTCGTAGGAAGTTCGTGGTGAGAGGAAGCTAGTGCCTGGAACTATCGAGGTCCAAACTTTTGGTTCTGCTCCTTCTTTACGTGGAAGTAGACGGAAGACTATATGAGTTTAGTATCTTTTGCGAGCTAGTAGGGATATAAGTTATCCTTACCACCACTACATGTTTGGGGATCTGATTCTGCACAAAATGCACAATATCTATCGCCTTTTTTTCTAGTCTATAATTAGAACATGAAGTTTGGGTATGAGGAATATATTCTTACCCAGCGTCTCCAGTCTGCCGCACATGATATAAAACACCTGAATTCGCATTTATGAATTCCACCTCAGAATCTGTTACGCCATTCAACATTGCCGACGAACTACAGTTGAGTAGTACAGTTGCAAGTACTGTTTTGGGTGTCCACTCTACTATCGCCTTGTCTCCATCCGCGAGCTCGTAGTTGAACTTGCCAGGCTCCGGATAGACGAATTTCAGAGGACTCGACTGTGCCACGACATAAGAAGCCATAAATGGCAAGGAAAGAAGTAGCAAGTCCAAAGAGAAAAACATGATGAAACGATGTGTAGATTGGAAGACAGAAAGGGAAAGAAAGAGGGAAAGACAGGAAAGAAGTGAGGAACCCAAGTACTCTGAAGGATAGAAATTACCAACAGCCACAATACCTAGAAGGTAAACAGTGGTATATATGGAACACTCGTTCTTCATATCATTAAGGTGTCGTACTCGTAAACACGGCGAAGGGGGGGCAGTAATGGGGACGAGCAGCAGTGGCTGACGAAATAGCAACATCCCCAAAGCTTGTGAAGGATACAGTCAGCCCTGTTGCTAAATATTACTCTATTTCGTCAACGAATGTGGTATAGAACTGTGCCGATAGGGCAAAGTTGACGCACGTTTTACTGCGCTTGGGATAATGCTTATTACTGCTCTTGGATATAAATTGTGGCTGTGGACGCCATCTGAAACCTGTGGTCCGTCTATTTCGGGACTGGGAATCCTCTGGGTGACGTGTGGAATATATGACCTTTGTCATTTCCAGCTCTGTGTCGAAACATTCGGAAGATACCGACATGTAATGACGATGATGAAAAGAAATTCAGGACGTTGATGTGATGTGTTGTTGAAGATTGTGACGTTGCGACAGCCGAACCCGAGCCCGACCCCTGATGAAATTCTTCAGGGATGTGGGGCTTACCACGTGACCATGTGACCCCCCTAAGGCTCCTCGCTTTTTCCCCGCCAACACAACTACCCCACCAAAACTATTGAGATACTGAAGAGGATATTGTTTGCTTCATATATCAACATAAGATTATCGGCATAAATCATACTTGTGATGGTGAAGTACCCAAAGTCGCAGCACGTAACCCTGACGTTGAGTAGTCCACGTGGTTTGTAGTATGAGAACCGATCTTCATCCATCTACTTTACTCGCTACTGAACTAGTAACAAGTATAGCACATCAAATTGCTACGCTCCAAGCACCAATTTTAGTCAACGGGCTCTAATTACATAAGGCTTTGCAAGCGCTACTATGAAAGCAAGACGTTTCAGTCTGTGCATTCCATGGTTTTGGAGTTTGAGTAAATCCGAAAGATGGGATTGGCATAATTTGGCGATTTCCGGGGCTAAAAGAAGTTCAATGAGGCGAGAATGTTTGAACGACTAAGGCTGGAATTATCTACGGTAATGACGATCGCAAGTGCTCCTAGGGTTGGTCGAGGAAGTCGAGTAAACAATGGGCGCGAAGCACTAGAGAGTTAAAGAGCGAGTGGTATTAACTACGTCCACAGCTTTAAATTACGGAGTCTAATAATATCCGGTGATTGTTTCTAACGAAATGATATCTCGTGACATCACTCTTAAGCAGTTCGGGTTCTTCTGGTCGAACGTTCAAACCGACGTACTGGTAGGTACTCGTTTCATCATGCAAGCTCAAAATACTTTCGCTGGACGAGGGCCAACGGTTCGAAACTGGTTTGAAAAATCGCATTTCATCATTCATTTTCATTGACTCCGAAGTACACATCATCCAACGGTCAAAAGACAATGTAGATGGCTGAGACTGCCTCAGCCAATCACGTAGACATTATCAGCATGACTTCCACACCAGTGTTGCCAATGGACAGTTATTATTGGTCGGTTACCATACCAATAGCTTATTGGGTGGTTTGGTTATATGATATTTGGCATACCATACCAAAGTGACGGTATGGTTATGGATTTATATAACAACCGGTTGGTTAACAGTTCCTTAATAGTATGGTGATTTGCTTAGTTATCAAGCTTAGTCAGTATATACGTGATAGATTTGATGCGATTCTGATATTCCTATCTATAGTATTAGACCTATAGTATAAGTAGGAATATCTAGAAGACTACTTATCTAAAATATAACTTATTAAGGCTCGGATAAGGGTATATTACGATATATCCACTAATTTTATTACGTAGATATGCTTCTTTTTTAGTTTATAACTTTGTAAAATCACGGTTACTACTAGTAACCGACGGTTACCATTAATTATACTATTGGTAACCACTTTACTAATGGTTAACCACCTGATAAGACGGTATGGTATGGTTATGCCCTATATCTTATTGGTTTAATATGGTTATGCCCTAATATTGATGGTTAACTGTCCATTGGCAACACTGTTCCACACAAAGCTTCGCTATTCACTGCTCCTCCAGCCTCAATCTAAACCTCCAAAAAAGAATCCCCAAGCTCAAAGAAGGAAAAAAACAGCAAAAAATATCCTCTGCTCCCACTCAAATGTAAAGAGCGCCCAGGACATGAAAACCAGACGTGCTGAGTTTTACAACTTATTTTTAGGCTTTCGTAGATGGGTTTAGTATGTTCTATTAGTTTTAAATGCCTAGCACAATGAGTGGGATTCTCACGCATTTTGTCGATGTTTCCGGTGGGCCGAGACAACTGTTATGTTGAATTGGTGACAGGGAGGGTGGTATTTGGAGATGAGTATTCTTAGCGCTTGTTTTGTGGGTAGGTTTATCTTTGTACGACCAATTATATTGCGTTTTGTGTTATAGGTGATTTTGGGGGATGGATTTGGTTGGTTGGATGTTGTGATAGAGGAGTGAATGGCTGTACTGCTAAGGTTGACCATAACCCTTAGATGATTTGATAATACCGTAAAACGCTATGTAATTTCTGATGGTGGAATAAGAGGCCAAAGGGATGAATGTAGTTGTGGTTGGAACGTTGATAAATACAGATGAAAGCGGCTCTTCTCTATTCTAATTTATATAATATTGTGCAATTAGAAGGAAGAATCATCAACATCCAATGTATTAGGCAATGTCAATGAATATGTATCCTGGGGCACAAATGATTATTGACGGTCGTTAAGAGTTTGGAGAAGGCTCGTAGTAATGCACTCACCTACATTTCCGACATAACTTCATGAGAAGACTTGCGAGACAGGGTTACAGCCCTTCAAGAACAAAGAACAATTGAATTGTGTATTTTCTCTGTATGGATGACGTTTTCTTAAACGATTTACGCACTCTTGAGACTATTACCGTGGTAAATTGTCTCCAAGAAGCGTACGGAGTTTGTGGATAAAGCAGGCAATCATTTGAACTGTAAGAATTTACGCAGCCCATTATGGGAACTCGGGATATAAAGATATGTTCAGAGGATTCTCCTTATAAAGAATTGACCATCGTGGTTGAAGTATGGGCAAATGGGGGGGGGGGNGGGGGTCTCATGGCGTGTTCTAAGCGAGAATTGATCTTCCATGTCACATTTCACGTATCAAGATTCTTTCAACGAAATTGGTGAAATTTGCAATATCTGATGAAGTTTCGACTATCCTGAAATGTTTCTACACGAGAGTGTACTTTATGTAGTTGGTCGGATTTCTTTTTCGGTGGCTGTCGCAGAGCTCTTCTCATTCGCTGAAGAACAAGCACAGCCACGATTTTGGAGCTGTGGGAGCCTTGGAAAACGCCTTCAGGAAACCACCCGTTGCACTCAACACCTTAAAAGAATGAAATTTCCATGTGTTTCCCAAATTGGCCATTTTTCTCTGTTGCGATAATATTATGCCGAAGAAATGAATACATCAAGTACACCAACCCAAGGCAAGTTTTCGTCCCCTTCCACCGGATTGTGTTACGATGTTAACAGTTGAAACAGTAGCTGAGCCCCTATCTCTTGTCTCCTGGCAAACTATTTTCTGGACACTAGTGCCTCTTGCTATTAATTCTATGTCACAATCAGGTGGTCGAATTTGTGGCTTACCAAGTCGTTATCGCACTTACCTAAGATGCTCTCCCTTCGTTTGCCTTGCAGACTCAATCTCAATTTTGATGTGGATATTTGCACTCACAATTTATAAACGTCTGACATTCATTGAATCACTGGGAATCATATTACACACGCGATTTACCGAGATCAAATATACGACGAACCAAACCACGACTTCACAAATGGATCGAACGAGATTGAAACCGAAGGGATCCAGGCACCGGAAAGAATGACTTGGCTTTGATGGGTGTGGTTTCTACTTGGAACGCTTCCTCCGGCAATCAAACTTCTATCTATGAGCGGCGTAGGATGGGTTCAAGCTTGGGGGGTGTTCTTGTCATCTTGGGTTCTCAACGAGTTACTCATTATTTTCGCAATCTTGAACCAAGATAAGTTCAATTTGTCAGCATCTGGAAATGTATCTTGGCCTGGGTACGAGCAAATTACGAGGGATTCGTGCTTCAAGCGTGTCCAGAAAACTCTTTTTTTAACAGATATATTCCTCGCATTTACAGCTCTGAACGCTCATACCGTCATGATCAACGGTGCTTTCAGGGCAGTCTCACGAACAATGAACGCTTTTCCACTAGGTCATCTGGATTATCCTCTCGCATCTTTAATCTATTCAGAACATGCTTCTCCTATCATCTCAACAAAAACATTTCTGGAGGTCCCGATGAAAACACTGGCGACCGCTATAACGACCTGGTCGTTGGACCTTCCGACACCCACAGCTAGTCAAGATATACACAATCCACGAGATGTATATATCTATCCATATAATACACCGGACTACCAATTACTTGTAACAATTGTTTTGTTGCTGGGATCAGGTATCCTAGCTTTTGGTTTCCGCGTTCGAACAATCAACATTCCCTTCATCCTCTTGGGTTTGATTCACCTTATGTTCGCCAATTCTGCGGCAAATATGGCTTTCTATGGACTTCCTTCTTACACTGAAATATACGTCTTCACAATATAATTTCTTGTCGTTCCCTCATTGGTTCTGGCCCTATGGTATGTGGGTCGCCATTACTCTATATTGGGTCAAAATCTTCAAGTTATGTCTCGGAGGTCGAATGGAAATTTGAAGATTGATTATGGTGGATGTTTAACGTTTATGTTTTTCATAAGCACAGTGCTGGCGACAGTGCTGTGGTATTGTTATGTTTTTGATACTTTGGGCACCTCTGTTCCTGTTTGGACTGGTGTGTTTGGGTAGTACCAGTGTTGTTCTCCGTTATGTTATTGAACAGCTGATCTAATTACGACACTTGACGAATCACAGAAATGGTTGATGCTTTTATGTTAATGATAAATGTTTTGTTTGTAATATGAGCTGTGAGCGATAGCTCCGCAGTATGATGACTACAATATGTTTGGTGCTTGCAACTTTTTGTTCAACTTGCGTCTTGTACAAAGTATTGTAAACAAAGTTTGTTTGAATCGAGATGGAAATGGCACGATTCTGGGATTTGTTCTTCAAATTAATCTGTGAGAATTACGCATATGTTTGACCTCTTGCTCAGAATTGGCGTAGTACGACTCATAGAAAGCTTGAAATTGATATAAGACCCCAGGAATTGAACCTTGTATGAACCAGAAACACAGCTTTCAAGAACACGAATTGCAGCCTAAACCGAATACATATCCTTCTTAGATCAATTCAATATCTATTTCCTTCAAGACCGCAACGAAATTCTCCAGCTCAACCATCGCCGCTATTGTAGCAACTGGCGTCCTCGCTTCTCCTGCCCCTAAAGCAGTCGCTGACGGGAATAGCCTCTTGGTTCCACCTTACAATCTCGGAGCCCGCTCTGCCAATATCCAAGACCGAGACTCACTGAAGGACAAGGATACGGTGGAGTTCTGTGGATTGGAGAACGGTAAAAGAACATGTAATGTTAAGGTTAAAGCTGATAAGAAGTGCTGTAAGTAAATTGAATTCCTAAGTCCGCTAACATGAAATTTGACGATTTTTGTCAAAGTATTTAGCTAAGAAAATGACAGATATCCTTGATGACTGGTGGAAGGGTGGAAAGTTCAAGACTTCGTCATTTGAGAGTGTTACTGATACAGGGATTCTGTGTGAAATGTACCGGTAAGTAGGCAGTGCTGCCATTACCTCATGCTTAGGGCTTTTAAGGGCGGGGAGTTAACAGCTACTTAGGCGGAACGATTGCGGTGGGAAAGCTTCTTCAACCTTCAATTTCGCCGAATTCAGAGCGGACGGCTCTGATAATGGCAAGAAGGAGGATAGCGAGAAGAAGAAGGATGATAACGAGGACCGTGATAGGGATGATCGTAAGATGAAAATGAAGAGCAGAAAGAGGGACGGCGACGAGAAAGATGAAGACAGGAAGGATGAAGACAGGAAGGATGAAGGCAAGAAGGATGAAGACAAGAAGGATGGTGACAAAAAAGACGGGGAAAAAGGATCTTTCGATGATAGTATCCGTTCTTTGAAGTGCTCCAAGAAATAAGTCTACTTTGGCGGAGGAAGAAGGAAATGTTTTCTGGTGTCATTTAGGTTCAGAGATGAGGGTCTTCACATGGTGGAAGCTGTTGTGCCGGAAGATAAGATTCCTTGGCAGGAAATCAAATTTGATTTTGTGACTAATTTTGAACGAGACGCGGGATATCCTTTCTTGAATGTATAACTCATTATGACACAAACATCCCAGTACTCTCATGAAAGTTCCTGTAATCTCTAAAAAAAATCAGGGGAAAAGGACAAATTGTGGAAAAAAGGGTTGTTATTGTATTGCGAAGAGATGTGACCAGGAGTTGTGGATTAGATTAAGCGAGCATAATGAGCCCCAAAATTCTACCTGGATCACGCTTTGTGTAAATATCCTTTGCTCTTATGCGTAGACCTAAGATACGATTTTTCGTGTTTCGCTAGTGTACGATTACAAGTTTCCCCCTACTGCTAGAAATAACCACTTGCAAATGTGATTTATATCCAAGCTAGAGGCATGCTACAAGAGATACTACTAGTAGGAGAAGGTCTATAATGTGTCCTTAGTATCTTAGATACCCGACAAAAATGCTAAGGTTATAGTATACGCTATACCATAAGCTTTCTTGAATCAAATAGTTAGTGAAACTATACTTAGCTGCAAGCACCATCACTTTCATACACCTGCCCCTTTTCAAAGTACGAATATTACCACTCTACTGATGACCTTAGATCCTTATAAATCTCACATGGAGAATTCCACACATACCCCAATCTCGTTGGAGTTTTAGCTCCTTCTTGGCAAGAAAACAATGCAAAGGTTAACACTTCTTTTTTTTTGCATACTATCTCCAACTCTCAGAAATGCATACATATCTTCCAGTTCCCATTTCTTGAGAACATAACTGGGTATAAATGAGTCAAAGGAAACTCTTCATCAGTCCTGACAACAATGTGTAAATCCATCGCGAAGTGAGTGGCATTGCAAAAGACTAGCGAACCTTGTAGTGGAGCCAGTTGGCAGCTTGTACATTCACTCCTTGAGTAAAGTCGCATACCTAATACTAGTTAGTAAGAGATCACTACCTATCACTCAGCGTACTATCTATCGCTCAATATATTTTATACCATAGAAAAAAGGGGGGCATGTTTCCCAAAAACGAGCGATATTGTTTAATTTGGACTTCGCTCAAATGATTGTTGGTCAGCTATAAAAAAACACAAATCATGCTGTGTATGTTGAACCTAAACGGCTTGCTTTTTATACAGTATATATGGAGCAATGTAGGATCTTTTACTATTTTGAAATCTGGAACTTATACGTCCTTTATATTTAGTACTGTTTTATTTAGAATTATAAGTAGTAATAGAAGATATAGTAAAGGACCCTTAATCTATTATCGAAACTCTACTAGCTATCTATAATATTTATAATATGCCTCCTTTATAATAACTTAGCTTAGTAACTGAAATCTTACTATTTAAAACTTACTTCTATTAAAAACCTAAACTAGGAGCTAGTAAGAGCGTAGTAATATAGTAAACTCGCTTAACTTAATCCTTTTTTCCCTAATAAGAAAGACAAGAAAAGGGAAAGGTATTATTTCTTAGGTATTAGCTAGCTTATAAATCTACAATAAGTAGATATAAACTAACTATATATTATATAGAATAACGAAGTTAGAAGTAGTTAACTAGGGATTACCTAGAATTTCCCTACAAAGCCTAAAACCATCTAGTTAATGTTTTCTCCCTAACTTAGGTTCGATTTTTAAGTATCTATAACCATTCTTCCTGAATTCTCTTCTATATTTCATTATCCGTAGACTCATACTCCCAATCAACCCCTAGTTTTGTTCCAAAATTGTCCTATCAAAAGAAGGTGCATCACGTGCATCAACAACATCCCCCCTTTATCCCTGTAGGTTACATCATCTACATTGAACACCCATACAAAAATTAAAACCTCAACCCATGTATCCTGGATATCCCTAGACCAACAATACCCCAGACACCACATAATCCCTTGAATTACTACCTACCTAATAAAATCACATCAGGCAACCCGTAGAAAATATGTGGATAACTTCATGTATTGATAACCATTGGTCCAACTTGTCCCGAAGGACGCTGAGAATTTGCTTATTTGTACATATAACCACTCCCCTGTTCCATGGCTAGTCCACCCACTCCCGTTTAAACAGTTGCCTAAACCAAACTAACCTCGAGTCTAACTCGAAACCTCCCAAAGCATGATGATCCCTTTCGCGCTTTAGGCTACAACATCCATCAACAACAATAAGTAAACACCCTCCCCCCCTCCTATCATCACCCACCATATCTTTCCAAAGTCTTTCCAAAACCTCTTCAAAAAACAAAACATAAAACAACCCCAAAAAACCCCATAAAAACACTCCCACACCCCCCCAAAATGTCCGTCGTAGCAACAACCTCCACACCCCAATTCCCTTGGGAATCCCCATCCCACCCNAACAACCCCAAAAAACCCCATAAAAACACTCCCACACCCCCCCAAAATGTCCGTCGTAGCAACAACCTCCACACCCCAATTCCCTTGGGAATCCCCATCCCACCCGGCCCCTTCTGGCGCATCATCCCCATCAACCTCGCGCGCCAAATCTACCAAACAATCCCGTCTTCCTCGCTCCAAAGCTGGCCAGTAAACGATTCAACCTCCGTCTCCCTCTCCCAGGTAGAGAAACTCCAACTCTTAGACGAGATCCTCACCACCTCAGTCAGCGATGCGAAAATAGAATACGAAAATGGGGGTAGTATACCCAATTCCCCGGATGGGAAACACTACATATCCCTCCTATTCCTGAACTCCACCATCAAATCACACCTCGGTTCCCACAGCGCAGCAGAATCCCTCCTCCGCCTCCTCCTAAAAATCCACCCACAAACAGGCCACCACGGCGCCCTCTCCCACTCCCTAAAAGCCCAAGGTAAACTCTCCTCAGCAGAGTTCTACGCTAAGAAATCATTGCAGGAGGTACAAGAACATGCGTTATTGGGGAGGGATAGTCCACAAGCACTGGGCGCGATGAGGTTATTGATGGAGATTTGGGCGATGCAGGGGCGGTTTGGGGATGCGTGGGGACTTTATAGGGAGGCGGAGGGGGTTGTGGAGGGGATGGTGGGGGGACGGTTTGGGAAGTATG